TATATTTAATCAGTTTGTTATAAACTACGTTTGAATAATAGAAATTAAATCTACATAAAATTGACTTTTTTTACTTTTACTTTCATTACAAAATTATACATGAACTAATATAATCTAATAAAATTTTTATTTAAATTCATTTAAAGAATATAAATTATGTCCATGGGCAAATTAATATAAAGAATCTTTGATTTTCAAGTAATTAAAATTCCCTAATTAGTTCTATTTTCAAGTACATATCATGGACAAAGTGACAAAAGAGAATAAGAAAATGACTTCTTAGTTTTAAATCTGTACATGTGTTTTTTATACATGTAGTGTAATTATATTAATAGAAATAAAATATGTATAAATAGAAATTCTTTTTTTATTATAACTAAGTATTCCATCTCTATATTTTTTATCCACACGTTTATCATATACAGTTCATAAACAATTATGTAAAGTGAAGTTACCCAAAGATAATTAAAGGGAGGAAAATATTTAAAAAAGATAAAAATATTTTATACCATTGAATACACAATGAGTACTGCATTAACTAATTTTATGAAACAATAATATTATTTTTTAAATGTTATTTGTTTTGTAATTCTATTGACATATTTCTTATAATATAGAAAACATAATGTAAAATAAATTAATATTTATGCTTATGTCTATATTTACGAGATGATGGAGAAGGAGGACTATTAGCTCTATGTTTTGAAGTACGTGGTGGAGGTGGTGGTGATAACGACGGTGATCTACCCCTTCTTTTTCTGTCATTTCGTTCGCTAGTGGGCGACCTACGAGATACTCTGGATGAAAAAGAAGGTGAAGGTGTTCGCCGAATACGTGGTGGAGATGGTGTCACTGGTACTCTCTTTTTATATGGGGATCGTGATCTACGTTTACCACGTGGTGATCTACTGCGTGATCTGAAATTTAATAAATAAATATTTTGTAACAATACTGTAATTTTTAAATTTGGAATGGATCAACATGTCATAATTGAATCTATTAACTGCTTTTACATTTTTACATATAGAATAGTTTTTAAATTAACCGTTCCAAAATTTTAATGTTAGTATTTAATGTTAGTAAATCAGGAATATATTGATGTTAAAAGTAAAAACCTAAGAAATTTTTTTTCATTATTAGAGCCATTTTGCGTTGTTTTAAATAACGATATTTCTTTATCTTTGAAAGTGTTTGTAATTATTTAATGCAACTCACATGTAACTAGTAGTAACAATATTAGTCACATGTAACTTATATATAACGATTAAACGAACTTATATTTAATTATTTCTTAAAACGATTATTTTTATTTATATACGTACCTTTATACTTATTACGGACATAATTTACAAACTGTACTTTGAATACATTATTTTAAGATTAAATGGTAAAAACATAACAAAATATAGTTAAATTCATCGTGCAATTTAAGACATGGTATTATTTATGAAAAATACAAAATATTATCAATTTGTTTATGACAGAATTACAGAATTAATATTCTTAAAGTCTTTTTTATATCAAAATAATTTTGATTTAGTATCAATGAACTTTTATTTGAATTATTTTTCCGTTAAATTTAACTATTTTTTCATATTATCAGTGGAAAAATGCAGTTTGTAAAAATATTTACCTATATCTATTACTTTTAGACGATGGACTTATTGAATTTCGTCTTCGATCTCTATAATGACTTGGAGATTCTGGAGTTGTGCTTCGCTTTTTTTCTCTTCGTCGTTCGTCATCACGTTCTTCGCTTTTTACATCTTTCATTTCTCTTTCACTCTGTAATAAAAATGTTGATCATTGTATAATAAAAATTCCATAATAAAAAATATTTTATAATACAATTTTATTATACTTTAAAACAATGTATTCAAAAAATTTTACCTTCCTTATAAGTTTTTTTCTATAATGTTCTACCTGCCCTTGAATTGTCATGCCAGATTTTAGCGTTCTTCTGCCACTTTCCAATTCATCTTGATATTGCATTATTTTAACTTCAATTTCGCGCAATCGACTTCTTCTTTCTTCGTTATAATCTCTACTACTATCAAATTAAATAACATTGTAATTAATAATTAGATTCTATCTTTATTAAAATATCAAATTATTATTTGAAATATTACAAATCATAATTTAGAATATATTTTTCTACTATTTTTTGTATAATGGAAAATAATAAATAATAATAAGCATATAAATATATAACATTTGTGTATTACCTGGAATCCATACTAGTATCTTGAGAATTCGAATCATCATTTTGGCCTAATTCTTCCCATTTACTAGTTGTCATAGCTTGCGCTTCAACCTAATATAAAAAAATAAATTATTTTTAAAAATAAAGAAAAATATGAAACAGTACTATAAAAGAGATCGTGATCTATTTTCCTTAACAACAATTAATCAAAATTCTTCTTCCTTGATTTTTTACAATTTCTTTACTGTCATTATGTAGATCGCTACAATTTGAACCTAGTACGAGTCAAAGTGCATTTTATTTAATACAATTTCCTCTTGTAAATCAATTATTTCAACCTGATCAGGATCAACAGTTTCCCAACGAGATGGTACAAAACCCGCAGGAATTGATGGTTTTTTATCATCTTCTTTATTTTGTACGTTTGAAGAATCATCTTCATCCATAGGAACACCATCTATATCTTCATCCACTGAAAACGTATGACTAATAATAAATATACTCAATGTTCAAAAAAAAGCGAGAAATGTTTATAAAATGTAACTCTAGATATTAAGACAATGAAGAAATTCATGTAAAAATATCATTTAATATTTAATTTATTATGTTATATTTAATATTTTATTTCTCAAGTTATATAATCTAATTTTACGATATAGGTACATTGACAGTTGTATAGATCAATAAATCAACTAATAAACTTTTGATAATTATTCATGACAAAGGCGATATTATCGATTTCAATGAACTTAAAATATGTAAAACAATTTTTTTCTTATGCATGTTACCACCATTTGATCTTTTGAGATATTTATAAAAAAATATTTTATACTTCTTAAAGGGTAAACTTCACCAATTTCAATGATTTTTTAATTTATAATGTTATATTCAAGAATGTACACTTCAGCAAGTGACATTACGGTCCAAAAATTCCTTTGTGAATTATTTCAATATGATGACATGTTAATTAAAAAATAATCGACATTTTTTTAAATAGATTGGTATTGATTTGGAATAGATAAATTATCGATCCTCAACATTTTTCTTTTTTTTTATAATTTACAAATAAATGATTCCTAATGAATAAGTTCTCTATACTCTTTAATGGTAATTATAAGTTGACTTTCTCTGTCTTATCTAGTAAACATGAAATGTACTTTTATCATAAGACTGCGATATATTATTAAGAATTACTATAAATACTTTAATATCTGCAATAATTACGAAAAGTTACAAAGTGATTCATGGCACTATGAATTGCAATAAATGCAATAAACATATCTAATGTAAGTTTAAAGAAATATAATTTAAAATTAATTCCAATTATTTTAAATGTAATCTAAATCCCAAAAAGCTACATACCATTAAATATAGCGTTAAAATACTTTAAAAATTAAAGTCGAACGGTAATAACATGTATAGAAAGAAGTTGTCCAGAATATCTTGACAACATATTTCAAGATCATTGAAATCGGTGAGATCGGCCCGATTCTGAACAATTTGATCTGAACAACCAAACTTTTTTCTTTATTTCACTCATTCTTCATGTTTTTCATTAAAATCAAATATTCTTACTAGGTACGCCATCAATATCGTCATAGTTAGATGTGGCTTGTGGTGTTAAACCATGCTTCATAGCACCCTTCAAAAGAGCTGCACCGTCCAGTGGTACTCCATCCAAATCTTCTGCACCTTCTCCATCTACATCTGATAATGGTGCTCCATCAATATCTTCATCATTTTCTGGTTCTGGTTCATCTATCTATAAAAATAAAATTACTTTTATTTTCTACCGTCACATTTCCTTTTTACGATGTAGAGCATTAAATTTACTAAAACAAGGCCAAGAAAGGTGTTTTGTAATTTAACAAGAAAATCTCGTGGATAAACTGCCCAATCTTCCCATGCTCTAAACATTCTCATTACACGAACTTTAAATCCTTCTGCTTTTAATCTACTATCAAATTGTTTGTAAGCTTGATGAACTTCGTTAAATATATCCAAAAGTCGAGTTTCAAATCTGCATTAAAAGTACATTCATTAATGTAAATTGCATCAATAATTACATTATAAAAGGCATAAATACATTTAATAAATTACTATTTCTTAAATTTCCCATATTTTATAAGATAAAATAACTTACGCCTTTCGATAAATAGTAGCATTATTTACTTTTACACCACAGTTATGTAATATGTCAGATATAAGATATAATCTTGCAATTTTCTTATTGACAGGAGTTTGTAATATGGACAATGATTCCGAAATACAGTCGCAAATTTCTTCTGCTGCTTCAGCATGTTCTATACAAAATACCATTGCTTCTGCAACTTTTATCCTTTCAGGTGATATATTTCGTAATAAATCTTCTAATCGATCTCGTTGGCTATAAATATGGATATAAAAATAAAAAATACCAAATTAATTTTAAAAATCATAAGTAAAATTATTAAAATATTGCAATACTTTTTTGTAATACCTGTTTGATAGACTGCCTCTTCTAGGTTCTTGTCTTTCTTCCATTTCAATCAATTCATCTGGCATTCCCTGTGTCCATGGATTGATAAGAGGTGGTCTCCACACACTTCCACCTTTAAACATCCTGAAGTCTTCAGTATGCCATTCCTTTTGTCCATCTCCTTGTAATATGGAATATAATTTCCATCGATAATAAATATGTGCTGGAGAATAATTTTCAAATAAAAATCTAAAATTAAAATATTATTAATTTAAATATAAAATAATAAAATATTAACATTTCTTAATATTTCATAATGAAATTATACAAACCTAAACATTGGATTATTTAATTCTCGATTCATGATCATTGCTTCAAACATAGGTCCTTCACGAATTACAAATTCTACCATTCTATGTATTAACATAACTAAATTCCTATAACATAAAAGTTTATTTTTAACATCTATAAACAATGTAATATAGTATATTCATTTTTAATTAGTGGAAATAAAAATACCTTTCTGTAGGAATAACCACTTTGACAACTGCATTTTGTAAAACCTATGACAATTCCCATTACAGTGCAACATTTATAGTTAATTGAATGTTCAGTCCAAATTGTTCCACCCCAAGTATAATTATCATGAATTCAGTATGATGTAATTTGTAACAGATAAATTAGAGCAATCTTTAAATTATTTGTATGTTATACAAAATATTATGTATATAATAAATAACATATTTTTATATTTATCATACATTAAATTTGTAGAAATTAAGAAAGATCATTGCTTAAAATTGATAATTAGACTGCAGATTTTTATACAGCTAAAACGTATGCAAATAATATATTAAATATATATACAAATATTACATAAGTACTATATATAGATTTATGAAGTATTAGTTATTGTATTCTTTTTTCACAACTTGTATTACAATATATATTAATCGTTTTTTCGAGATTTTCTACTGAAGAACGGTATTATTTATGTACTAAAATTTATTTGTAAGTTGAAAACAATGCAAATCTTTATTGCAATGTATAAATGAAATGTATTTTTTACATCATGACTATCTTGATTTTTTGTTTTTTTAATTTTCAACCAAAATTTTTTATATCATTAAATTTTTAAGTTTTTTTCAAAAATATTATGGAACAAACATAAAATATATTTTTTATGTTTGTTCCATTATTATTGATTATTTTCGTTAATACATTTTTTCTAATTTTGTATTAATGGGGAAAATATATACAGTGTGGGCCAAAAGTTTCTCCCTATTTTTTTAAATAAAACATAAAAATAAGAAAAAAGTAATTTTATTAATTTTAAATTAAATTTAAATTCAAACATGATTTTTTCATTACGTTTTAAAATTCTATAAAAAAAATTTTTTTTACATATATAATAGAAAAATTACCATTTATTTTAGTACAAAGTGATTTTTGGCCCTGTATATATTGATTTAATCTTTTCTTCTTGAGAGCTTTTCTTATAATTGATTTTTATTTATTTTCTTATGATCGATGCTGCATCTTTTCTATTAAACTTTATTACATATTTTAAAAATTTGGATTTGTATTCTTTTAAAGAAAATTTTGTCACATTATATTATTTATATGCATTGCATTTTACAGTTATGCTTGATTCAAGTCATTACAAAATTGATTTTTACTTGACATTTAATTACTTGTATTTGCTTTTAAATTTTACGCTACTGCATTTCTCTTCTACAAATATCAATATTTGTCTGTTAAGTTTGACAATTGCAATATCTTCTTTAATAATGAAATTTGTATTTGCTATTTCACTTATTCATTTATTATATTTATTATAATTTGTTTAGAACTGTTCATTTTAAGCAAATAGTTTGAAAACAATGGAATTGAACTAATATATCAATACATTTATGATGTTGATTTATAATAATAAATCGATGTTATCGTCTAGATTTTTTAAAATATCGTTTCTTTTAAATTCGAATTATACTGAATAGGTTTTCTATGATCTATAAACTAATTTATAAGTTGTTAAAATGAGAAAACAGAAGTGTGTAAAATATGTATAAAATATATAATACCTATATAAAATATGTAGAAAATATATAACATATTCATTTATATGTCTTTTGTATAAAATATACAAAACGTGTGAAATACAAAAATATGTATTTGCATAAATATCCGGAGTCTATAGGTTATATTTAATTAATAAAAACGAATTGACAAATTTGTTTTTAAAATTTAAAAATTAATTTAAATTTATATTAAAGCATAAGTTACGAAGACGGACTGTTAAGCAATGAATCATTTTGTTTGAAAATGAAATATCAATGACTTTTATGCTATCACAATGAAAATTGTTTTAGTAGATCAATTAATTATTTTTGATAAAAATAAAATATTACAAAATCTAAATAGAATTAGTTAGTATCAACGAATGTAATGTGTTTAACTGCTACATTTTTATATATTTACAAATCTTAAAAAATATTAAATAGTAGATACACAAATTTCAATTTACTACTTTCACAGAAATGAAAAAAACAAATAAATTTTGCTATTATATTTTCAAGTTATAATAGAAAGGTTAATAAAGATTTATTATTTAATGTTAATTAAACAAAATTTAATGTTTTAATACCTTAATACTTAATATATCTGCAATATTTAAAACTTAAAATAACTGTAATTATAATTGTAATAAATAAAAAAAAAATAAATAAGTAAAATAAAGCATTTTAAAATAAAAAATAAATAAATTGTTTTTTAAACATGAAAATGACAATAATCAATTTTTTAAATGACCTTTAATTAAGATTTTTAAATAAGATTTATTATTTTATTAATTATTTTACTATTTATTAATTATATTTTCTAAAATATTTTTCTTTATTAAAATATCAATATTATCTTTTAAATAAATATATTAATATTTAAATAAATATATTTTGTATTTTTTTGAGGATATATTAAAAAATTTTGATAATCAAGTATATATTTTTGTTAGATGAAATAATGATTCGTTGTTAACTCTGAATGTTAGATTATGTTATGTTATGTTATGTTATATTATGTTATGTTATGTTATATTATCCAAAATGAATGGTAATAATTTCCATTTAATTAATGTGTCACTATTGTAGTTAATACAAATACTTATTTCCTTATTATAGATATATAATATTTCATATATCATAAGATAGTTTTACATGAAAAAATAAAAAAGGTATATAACACAAAACTTTTTGTTCAAGATTTAATTCTTAAGAAATTTGAAAATTTATATATCTATGTACTTATGCTAAAATATATAGCACTTATAGTTGAAATGTCTTTAAGAAATAAAATATATCTGACACTGTACAGTAGATACTCTGATAAAATTTGTACATCAAAGGAATCAAATGTATTCTTCAAATATTTCAATTATCAGAACATCAATTTATCTGAATACATATTCACTGTAATAATACAATAGTCTAAAAAAAATATTTTATTGGAAGTATCTTATAATTAGACTGCAGATTTTTTTGTATTTATAAAAAATTTGAAGGTAGATACAAAAAAAAATATGTAAAATATCCAAATTATACTTTCTAAAATATTTTTACTTCCAAGATCCTATTTTTTAAATTATATTTTTAAAAATATAAATTTACATAAAAATCCATTGTTTATTTATAACCATACTATTATATTATACATAATGCAAACTATATTGTATAATACAAATTATGTTAATATATCTAATTATGAATATATATGCTTTTATTAATAAAAAGTTGATGTTTTGAATCTTAATGTATTTTTATTTTATACTAGATTTCAAATCTTCAATATTTCAATACTATATATTTCTAAATTATAGATTTAATATGATGAACTGTATCATTGTCATATTTAAATCATTAAGATATCGAATATTAATTGAATAACATATATTAATTAAACATATATTACATATATTAATTGATTTATTAATTAATAACATATATTAATTAAAAATATTAACATAGTTTAATATTTAGAATAAACAATGAGCCATCATTTCACCATATAAAATATGTTATAATAAAGATATATATACTATATACAATTTTTTCACATATTTACTAAACTTGAAAAACTTGATTTGTTTTTTTCAAAACAAATTTTGAATGAAGAAATTTGATTTTACATTTTTGTTTCCTTTTTTCATAACAAATTATTTCATGCTTGATTCTATATAAAGATATATATTTCATCTTTAAAAAAAATAAAAATTTTATATTAGTAGAAACAAATTACCTTTTCAAAATTTTCTTTTTCCTGAGGATCTGCTGTTTGAAGATTACGATTACGAGGTGGTATCTATGACCAAATTTATAAAATTTCTCAGGTTTATATCAACTTTTTGTTATAAATAATCATAATTTATTAATACATTATTGACCAGTTATATAACATTAATAATGATTAAAAACTACACCAATATGTCATGTAAATTATAATTTAACAGTTTTAGTCAATAATGCGTTAATATATGCCAATTTTGTTTATTTTATATACCTTATGTCTATCACGCCGATGTGGTTGAGCATTAAATGGAAGACCAGATGGAGGTGGTGGCTGTGTAATTTCCATTAAAGCAGGTGGAATATAAATAGGATAAGGTGGAATCGGTACACTTTTTCCCCAGCCTAATTTCATTTCATACTGCATTATATCACGACCTAATTCACATTATAATAAAATATTTTTATAATTGCATTATAAATATAGGTAATAATAAATAAATTTATAAAAATATTTATAAACATTAATTTCTCTAATGAAAAAACGTTTTTTTATAAATTTAAAATAAAATGAATGTTTTCTTACCATTAAGATTTTTTAAAGCTCGTTCCCCATCTTTACGGCTCATAAATGCAACAAAACCGCAATTTCTTTGTCTGGCTTTTTCTTCATCACTACGTGGCCACATAATTTTAATACTAGCCAATGGTCCATATTTACCAAATATTTCCATTAATTGTTGTTCTGTAATCTATTATTATATATAAAAATATAAGATATTATGTTTATTAATAATTTTTAAACAGAACAAAATGTAAAATTATAATTCCAAATATTTAAGTCTAATTTTTTTAATGATAATTAAATAATAAATTAAATACAATCTTTTATAACAAAAATCGTAAAGCTTATGAAATATTATTTTAATGAGATAAATATGATTTTCTATAATATGCATTATAGATATATTATAAATATATTGATATAAACCCAATATTTAAATTTGATTTGTACCTTTGGATTTAAATTTCCCAAGTATAAGTTTGTTGTATTAGGATCGCCATTATCAAATGATCCATCTATAAAATATTTTTATATTTTTATACAATATTTTTATATTTTTAATACAATTTTATTATTGAAAAACAAATATATTTGAAATTAAATAGACGATCTAGAAATGGGTACTGTTTACCCTCATAAATCAGGGCTAGGAGACGTGGATCATCAATAAGGTTATGTAGATTATTTTTTCGTGAATCAGGGTATGAGGATGTGCAACCTAATATATTTTAACAAATTTAAATTGTTAATATAAAGATAAAAAATAATTATTTACGCTATAATAACTTAGTTAACAAAATTAACGAAAAAATTTATATTAGTTTCATAAATTTATAAAACAAATTTATGAATGATTATAACTATTCAATTGAATGTATCAGTATTAAATTACCTTCAACACATTTTAGTGCTGCTAACATTGGATCTTCTGATTGGGTAGAAATAACATTTTTCACTACACCTTTATATTTATGTCTTTCTTCTCGCTCCTCTTGTATCATTTTTAATTCTTCTTTAAATAATTCAAGATTACTTTTCTTCTTTTCACCTTCTTTTTTCTTTTTTCCTAATCTATCTAATTTTCTTTCATTTGATCCTAATAATTTCGCATATTCTTGTGCTTGTTCAGCTGATGATCTACTATCTACAAGCTCTGATATCTTTGATTGTGGTTTATAAAGTTTTCCTTTTTCTCTTGTATCTTCTTCTGCGGATAAATATGTATAAATAAATATGTATTTTTAAAATTATATATTACACTGAATATTTTCTTAATATTTTTAACAATTATATGCTTCACTAAATCTTAAAAATATAATTGCTAACATACTTTATATTTCAGATTTATATCTCACATGTACAGTTATGGAATAAGATCAACTTACGTCGTTTGCCTGCATCATAAGTTCCTGCTTTCACCCAAACTTTACTAGTTGTTTTATTAGGTGTTTCTTGAAAAGTTGCAACAAATTCTTCAAATGCCTATATATGGTATTTAATATAAAAAATTATATGTTTAATAACATTCATATTTTTTATAATTATGGATTTCTAATATTGCTTACCTGTGCTGCAGCTTGTTCTTGTTCTTTTTTACGTTGTTCTTCTAATTCTTTCTTACTCAATGGTCTTTTACCCATCGTGCCAATAGAAAATGCTTTGAGCTTTTGTTCTGCTATTTGCTATATATTAATTATTATTAAAATAATTATTATTCAAAGCAACTATGGTATAAAAGTACATAAAAGTACTAAGTACTTAAAATCAAATTAAAATTTAAAATTTACATAAATTTACCTTCATAATAGCCTTATCTGCCATTTGTAAACAATTTAACCTAAAACATTAACAATTTTTAATATTACCGAGCAATAGTGGTTTAAAAAAACCAATCAGTACATAGTACTTACTTTTAAACAAAGGAATTTTACAAAAATTTAATGTAAAATAGCAAACAGAACTTCTGAACGCACATATGAAATTTTATATCGTTCATAAATACTAAAAATTGTCATTAGTATAAGAAATATTTATATCTTCTAATAGCTTCTGAAAGACACGCTTAAAATTTTTTATGATAACTGGTCATTATCACATAAAATTTATATTAAAATTTAAAAAAATATGTATGTTTTAATACATTTTGCATTAAAGAATTGAATAATTATAAACTATACACCTATCTTTTTCGTATTTACGTACGTACGTATGACTGACTGTATTTATGAATAGTCATATATAACCTAAATAGAAGATACGCGTCAATACGTATTAAGTTTTACTTTTAACAATGTATAATTAGTGCATATATTATAGTTCTTATATATGTACACAAATTAGATACCTGTATTAACAGTTAAGAAGTATTCAGTCTTAAAAATGTTATTTAATAAAACTGAGTAATGATAAACATATATTATACTTATCATATATATATATATATATATATATGCTCTATTTACGCTACCATGTTATATATATATATATTTACTATTTATCTATTATACTATTATACTATATATATATACTATTTATACTATTATACTATATATATAACATATATATATATATATAACATCTTTCATGAAAAAAAAATATATATATATATTACATCTTTCATAAAAATAAAATATGCAATCTATATTATTTTCACTCATAAATTATATATTCAATATGCACTATAATTAAAAACATTCGCTCGAAGCAAATTTAATTCAAATGCTTTTGTTATTATTAATTATATTATCAAATTTTTTAACACACGTTTAGAAATTTTTCATTAAGAGACTTTCCTATCTAGTAATATTTTTGATCGAAAGTGATTCGAAAAGAGCCCTCTATAAATACAAATGAAAGAAAATTAAATATGGCGGATATTTTGTTTTGTGTGTAGTGATTATGTTCTATTACTTTGTTCAATTTTCTGATATAATTATACGTACTGTTTGTGAAACTTCCGAGAAAGTTGGAAAGAAAAAAGAAAAAAATGAATGCCACAAGTCTCTATGTATCAACATGTCGATTAGTTTTACAAGCGGATGCTGATGATCCAAATTCATGGACAGATTTATACAGGCTAGTTCCATATTTGCGACAGAGTTTAAGTTGCACTGTGTGTTCAAATTTGTTAATTGAGCCTCATACACCAACTGAAACTAATTGTCAACATCATGTGTGTCGTGGTTGTAGAGGTGGACGTAAAAAATTGAAACCGTCGTGTGGCTGGTGCAAGGATTATGACAAATATATTGAAAATGTTCAGTTACGAATATTGTTACAGTGTTATAAAAAATTGTGTGAATATTTAACAAATACAAACATTTATCGAAGTTTAATACTTTCAGTGTCCTCCAATAAAACAGGTAATAATGCATCAGCTATTGGTGCTAGTAGCCTCATGGAACTCATACAAGAGGGTTCTGGTTTTAAAGATGAATTTAAAAGTACTGCTGGTTTATCAAAATCTGCATATAGTATTTTACCATGCGTTTATACAAGTACTACCTCAACTCAAACTCAAGGAAACACTATACAAAATTCTGAAGCAGTGTCACAAAGTATATCTGGTATAGTATATCATTATTATCATTAGAATTATATAAAAAAAAATAACGTAAATAATTTTTTTTATTAAATGTTTTTTCAATATGTAATATTTGTTTTAGTATTTTTTAGTACAGTAATATAAACTAATATTCGAACTTTAAAAGTTATTCTTTTTGTTACATCAAAGTATCAAAATATTTAATTCCAAGGAAAAAAATATTATGATAATGAATAATATTCTTTTTTAACATAAAAATTTGTTTCGAATATATACTATTAAAAGCAATTTAAAATTAATTGACATATTCATTTAGGATATCTTAAAAAAAAACTAAATTTTATAAGTATGTTTCTTCAACTTGCTCTGAATGAAAAAGATCGTACACATGAATTTGATTTGCTTGTTATTGATTTATTTTAGAAAATTGCAGATTATTTAAAATTTAAAAATTTGAAGTGATTGGAATAGAGCAATGGTTTTTTATTTTTCACATACTTTTTTATTTTTTTTTAACTTGTGCAAGGTATTTAAAAATTTTAACAGATGACTGTATATGTTCTGAATGGAATCTGCTAATAAAGTAATCACAAAATTGATCTTGAGCGATAGTTATTTTTTTTGTGTTATTATGTTGTTTTTTCAAGTTAAAAAGTTTCAAAGGAGTCAAAGGAGTTAAATGACTTGCAAATGATACTAAAGTTTTATTAATCATTAACTTGATCTGCATTTTAAATGTGGTAAAGCGTTATTATTACTAATATTATACATTAATATCTGTAACTTAAATTTTAAATTTAAGAGCAATATACTAATTACCCGATGATATTATTATAATGATATCTGTTCATTCATTGACAATAAAGCAGCTTTGATTGAATTTTTGTGTCACAACATGAGGATTTATTTCCAAGTTCTGGTATTTTGATGATTTAGTATGTACTGAAAAAATTGCTCTCATTTGTAAACAAGACATCTTCAAGAAAATGTGGACTGCGTTTTAATCTTCTTAACATCCATCTATCCATCAAGCGACATAATTTCATTCTAGAATATAGGTCCTCTTCATGTACTTTTTTCCTTATTACATTAGTGAAATCTCTACTTAGCAAGTCCATCTGTGATAATCTCTTCCTATCACTGGACACAAAGACAGATTTGTTATGTGAATGAAGATTTTGCAATTTTGAATCATGAGACTATTGACTCAATTTGTTGATTATGATGATGATCTGGAACTTCTTCTAGATACAATGGATTTCATTAATTCTTATTTTGTCAATATATTTCGCGTATTAAAGAATAATTAATTGTCGAATGCTAATGTAAAGATTTAACTGTGTTGCGAGCACAGCTTTTTTGTATGGTATCTACAATGTCTATAATGGCATTGTTGCAAATATCCCAATATAATTATGCAGCAACTCTATGATTTTGTTGACATTCTCCAAGAATCATGTCCAAATTCATCAGACGCATAATTAGACATCGTATCAATAAAGAACACAATGCTGACCACAATAATATTGATTCGTCTGAAGTAAGTGTGAAATAGTAGCAACTGTTTATAAACATGTATGTATGTCGATAAATCGCACTTGATGAGTACGCATATGTTTACGACAAAACATTCTAAAACGTGGAAAACGGTAAAACCGTTCACAGCAAAGAAAAAATTTAAACAATCGTAACTGATCCTATGATCTTGCAAGAGCAATATTAGAATTCTCGAAACGAACTGTAAATCTATTTGTAATAACGAAATTGTGTTTTAAATTCCATTTAAAAATAAAAATCATCTTGAAATCTCGGGAACGCCTTCATCTAAAAAAATTTGGTGATCATCATAAGCTCTTTTGAAATAGAACAAGTTTTATTTGAAATTTGAAAAAAACATTTTTTTCGAAAAAATAAGTGTTTAGATGATAATGGCGTGAATAAATGAGACATGCTGTATATAAGATGATAGTAACTGATTGTAACTGATTGTAAATCGAACTATAATTCTTATTAAAGATATATATATATATTAAAGATATGTATTGGAGACAGAAAAAAATTGTAGAGGAAAATTTTGCACAGTTTAAGAAATTCATGTATTTTTTATAAAAGTGCACTTGTTTTTTAAATAGAATTCTACAATTTTTTTTATATAAATTGATTTTTTTGTCCTCAACTTTTCATTTCTCTAACTGAGAGATTGAGGACAAAGTTGCACCATTTCAAAGTACTTGTTTGATAATAATGAAAAGAAATTTTCTCAAAATTATTTCAAAACACTTCGAGATCATTGGTGATTTTTTAAATAAAGTCCTCTATATTCTTTTGATATCCATATAAAGCATAGAAAGTAAAATTTAACCACCTTAATAAACATTTCATTTAATTTATTTAATGTAATTTCCTAACGTTCCAAATTATATTTGTCTTTCATCACACACATTTTTTGTGATAATAAGGGAATATGAACAGTACGATAATGTAACGATAATGTAAGTAAATATTAACATAAATTTCTTTAGATTAAATGATTGAAACGAAACGATTATTAAGATAGTCAAATTAAATTTTATTTTTCGTGTTTTATAAGGATATTAAAATAGAATTTAAGATTTCATTTAAAAAATCACCGATGACTTTAAAATAAGAAAATATTAATATCACATATAAAAAGAATATTAATATTTATATAAAGAAAATATTTTTATATATAATATGAAAAAGGAAAATATTCTTTCCACTATCAGCAAATATGTCTTGAACATTTTATTCATAAAATCATATAAAAACAGATATTTATATGTTTTCATTTAAAGTATTTAGAAAAAAATTAATTTTTTTGACATTGTACCCTTATATCTTTTTTTAAAGTGACACAAAGAATCAATTCATGGAAAAAAATCAATTCATTTGAAAAACAAATGGAATCGCAGTCTGCAATCACACTAATGTATTTTTAACAAAATTCGTATTATGTGATTACAGAGTAGTGCAAAATTTTCTTGTATAATATTTTTCCATTTTCAATAGAAATAGAGTTATAATATAGTATAATATAGTATAATATAGTAAATTCATCCTGCATTATTATAATATTATAAATCAGTAAGATTTAATGAAATTTTTTTAAAAGTATAAATTATTTTGGAAAATCATTCTCAAGATCAATTTTGTGGTTTTCTTCTTTTTAAACAAATTTCCATAGATATGAAGATGTACAATGATTAAAGCTATTACAAATAATTTTTAAGTATTTTGTACATGTTGAAGAAAATGTTCAAAGTAATAGCTTTTCTTTTATAAACATAAATGTATTCAATATTTTAATATTGCTGTTGTAGAAATTTCACTTCTGATATCATCACTTGTGCTATATATTGTTTCAATTTTTAAATTAACACTAGATTATCAATACTCTGTACTTTTGATTTCATATAATTCTAGAAGAAGAAATTCACTAAAGTTAAATCCAGTGAATGCATTAGGTTTATATTGTTTCATCTATCTCCTTGGCAAATGTACATATATCAAAATTGTATTTCATTTAGAATATACTGATGCTTCATTGAATTGGAAATATATTCTTCTTGTTACTGTAATTTGTCTGAATAAAAAAAGAATTGTTTTTTACAAAATTTGTTTAATATTCTGCCGTGAGTTGTCCACATATTATGTATGGCTCAATAAAAATGTTAATGATGCTATACCATATATTTACCCAAAATCAATATTGGAAGCTTATTAAATTATAGTATATAGATTTTCAATTATTTAATAATAATTATGGTTATTATTTATGTTAGGTCGACTTCATATAGACTACAAAATTTTTATTTTAAGCATAAGTATGTGCATTTTTTGATCTAAAATGATCTACTTTATATAGACATATTGGTAAAATTATTTGGTTTATGAAATATTTTGAA